TGAACAGATCACCTGTGAGTTAACTTGAACAGATCACCTGTGAGTTAACTTGAACAGATCACCTGTGAGTTAACTTGAACAGATCACCTGTGAGTTAACTTGTAAGTCCACTATAGAGTGTCCAGGATCATGATTTGACATAATATTTTTATAATTAATTTTATAGTACATAAAATATCCAATTTTAATTTAAAGAAATTCGCATTTTCACCTTTGAAGAAATTTCTATTAGTCAATTGACGTTACATGGAATATTGTCATAAAGTCGACCTACATTATGTTCTAACGCTGACCAATTTCGGCCAAACTAGATGCTTTTCAAAAATCAACAGCCCGAATTTAGAGTTATTGACTATACCGTTCTAACTTTTTATAGCATTGATAACGATTATATACCAACATTCATGCTTATAATAAAACATTTCTAATAAAAATTTCGAACCTTTAGGTTAGGAACAGGTTCTTGCATATGAAATAGTATTCAAAGATTTAATAAATTTTTATTCTGGCCCAGGTCTGACGGGTAATCTTTGTATCCGGGTAGGCCTGCCTGCCTACCCGGGTGACCCGCGGGTCTACCCGTCGGGTAACCCGAGTTGTACTTTTTAAGACACTATTTTAGTTAACAAAAAAATATCTTAATAGTAAAAAATATTAAACAATAAAATTTTAACACTTGCTCGTTATAAACAGTAGATTATTAATTATGAGTAGTTTTGGTAGTAAGTTTTAAATAACAAATAGGTTTAAATACGTAGTGAATTCTTAAAATTTGCAAATACAAAATTAGTAAATAATACAGCTAAATAGTAAATATTTTATAAAGTTAGTCATGTAAAATTCAGACATTCAATAGTAAAGTTAAAATGGTTTTATTTTACAACTTGCGAGATACTTATTTCTTTCTATAACAGATAAATGTTTTCGAAATTCATTACTGATATATATGCTTTATTTTAGAATTTATAACAACGGTGAATTTGAATTGCATTCATTCTTTATAATTCCAACTCCATGCTAATAGCAACGACTAAACATTATCTATTATTTATTCCATTAGCACAACCTATGCCTATGAATTTTTGAAGACCAACTGTACTGTACTGCAAGTTGGTCATTTATAAATAAAGTAGATGGACCAATAGGAATAGAATATTCGAAGTTATCGAATTTAAGGGTTACTTATATTCGGGACTTTTACGGTGTTTTTATAACAAATCTAATTCGAATTTTTGATGTAATGAATAAGTTTACGAGCAACAGGATCCATCTTTAGATTACAAACACAGATAGGCAAGACTAAGTCAGAAGCCGATGTATTGATAATTCAAATAAGTGGAAGCGGCCTTCAATATTTCAATATTCCGTATACGAAGGTAATTTTATACTTTGATCTAATGAATTTAATATATATACGTATAGTATATAAATTATAATATATCGATATCGATATAGTAGTAATTTGGTTTTATACTATACCGATATATACGCGTGTGATTCATGTAACAATTCTAATTGTGCGTAAGTGTGACGTATCGTGTATAAAAAGCAGCTAATAAAAGGATCCAATTGTAATGCGATCCGTTATCAGTATAGAGAATTGAATATGTGTCATAAAATAAACCATCAGCAGCCAATCAACAAAGAACACCTATAAAGGAACATCGATTAACCGGAAATCAATGTACGGAACACTCCGAAAAATATAAGATTATGGTAAGCACCATGTTTCTCAAACAAATAACCACATGATTACATTTGTACATAGAAACAGGAAATCGCATGCAACAGATTATAAAATCAATAATAAGGTAATTTCATAATGATTTGCTTTTTCACTCCCTTGTTGTTCTGTGTTGCTTTTCAAGTGAACCATGATTTTTTATTTCGAAAGAGATTAACTTGCTTGTCTTTTCACACATTCTCTTAACTATGTGCTTGATTTTTCGTTGAATAACGCTAAGGGCAAGCGACCAAAATTAAAAGATGGTTTAAATTCAGCATTATCAAAAAGGGTCGTTAGAATGAGCGTTCTAATGAGTAAATATATGTAAAACCAGAAACATTCCGCAGTAATCATGACTTTATTAACAAATTTCGATTCATAGTTCTGAGAAAGCGAATTTTTCCTTTACAGTGTAAAAGGAGTAAAAAAGGGCTTTTGTTTGTCTTTTTATTCTTTTTACGCCGGTCTTTTCCCTGTCTTTGACTAAAGTTCAGAAAGCCCGCCCTTTTGCGACTGTTTTCAGCCCAAAATCCTTGCCGCGTATTTAAAAATATAATGACCAGCCCCGCATCAATATAAGTTATTTATTGAATGAAAAGATAAGCAAGTTTTATATCCATACTTGATCAATATTAGATTGATGGATGAGTGAAACATGTATCGGCCTTTGAGAAAAAGCAAAATAGTTATATTGTACAGTGTACTACTCACATATCTGGCCAACTAGAGTCTAGCGAAAAAAAAAATTTAATTTGTGTTGCCGTACTTTATAATCTATTTATACAAATGCGAAAATGTGTAATTTGTGGCTGCTTTTTTTTTCATTTATTTATTATTTATACGTGCATTTGACGGCGAAAATGATTATACTGTATACCTCGAAGAAGTCCCGTTAGTATAACTGTAAGCACTGTAAGCACACATATAATGTTAATCATGATTATATAAATAAATATCACAATTCATTTTCGCAATATAAATAATTAATTTCAATAATTTAAACTGAAGTTAGTAAGAGGATTGCTTTTTGTTTTCTTGGATTGTTTCTTTGTTTTCCTTTATCGTTTTTCTTGGTTGTTCAAAGATAAAGCTCTCTCTACAAATATTTTTTGATCGCAACTTGATAGAAATATTGGGTTAAAAGAGAAACAGACTCTATCCAACTATGCCCAATTTTTTTAACATGTCGAGTGAACATCCAAGATATTTCAGATATTTCAGACATCTCAAACATTTTAGCATCAATAAAATTGTTCTTTCATAACTATTGATAATATCGTATTTCTAGTCGTAAAGTTCCACTTATACTGAAAACATTTATCTTTAAATGTCATAGAACTCTCAAAAAGTTTCAAACCGATGATGCTTTCCTAGATAATAACCTTTAAAGGCATGAAGTATGTTTCTATTGTCGCGCGAGTTTTACTTACCTTTTGCAAATATGTGAGTAAATGACAAAAGGGTTAAAAGTGTGAGATAGAGAATCGGCCGTACTAATAAAGAGTCTGAAGTATTAAAGTAATCGATCTGCACTTTGCGTCACTGCGCCTTTTGATCTCTTCGTTATCACTTTTGATTATTGTCACATATTATCAGAGTGACTTTTTTTTTTTTTTTATGTATTATATATATATGATTTTTTTAATTGAAACAAATATGTATATATATGTATATATATTTACTCTTGAAAAGGTTACTTTATTTTATTTATATTGTAAATAATAAATTTTTTTTTTGCTTGTGCCGTGTTTGGTTTTGTTGAACCAATAAATGTATTTTTTAGGAATATGATCGCGAGTTCTATAATCATTCATTATTAATACCTGGACCTTTTAAAAATCGTATAAATAGGCCTCAAGCCCCACCTGCTCAAAAATTCCGACTTACGGCCTCGTCCCTAATTTTCGAATTTTTTTATTTTTTAAAAAAAAAAATTATATTTTTACCCAATCATAATTTTTCTTTTTTTACCTACAAAATTCATTGTTGATATTTTTTTTTAATTCACAAGAGTCACGTGATATTTTTTGAACTATTAAAGTTTTACCACGAGTGTAACGTCATAAACATCAATAAAACAACAAACAGAAAAAAAAAAGCTTAAATAGAGAATAGAGACTGTTGGCTTCTTTCAAAACAACTTTCGAGAATCTTTAACGTATCGAATTAATACTTTTTTTTCTTCGTTACGTTAAAGACTATACATATTCTCCTTACTTGTCAACAACTTTGAAAACAATTCTTCATGGCTCACCAGGCTCACCACATGGGTGTTCCCATCTCTTTTCCTCTTCAGCCTACTCAGCCTACAAACTCTGTAGCCGTATCAACGACCCCTCTGACTCCTCTGACCCCTCTTGGTACAATGTACAACAACAATCAGACTATTCAAATGGACGAACAAGTGAGCGGTACCATCGATCAAGCTATTCAAGCGCAATCTCAAAACGTTGCTGGCATCGTCCCGATGTTACAGTGAGTATTGCGCTGGCCCACTTTCATAATTTTATTATTACTTTTCTCGTTTTATATATATATATACCCTTGTTTTTTCCTTATAAATCATTATAGAAACATTGTCGCTACTGTTAACCTTGGTTGTAAGCTTGACCTCAAGACTATCGCACTTCATGCTAGAAATGCTGAATATAATCCAAAGGTACTACCGCATTGCTATGCGTTGGTAGCATAGACAATTGTGGTAAAATATTAAATATAGATGCTAAATACTGTTATGTAATGATACAATTATTAGCGCTTCGCCGCAGTCATCATGAGAATTCGAGAACCAAAAACAACTGCCCTAATTTTCGCTTCTGGAAAAATGGTTGTCACCGGGGCAAAATCCGAAGACGATTCTAAATTAGCAAGCCGTAAATACGCTCGTATTATTCAAAAACTTGGTTTTAATGCAAGGTTCACGGATTTCAAAATCCAGAATATTGTTGGTTCGTGCGATGTCAAGTTTCCTATTCGTCTGGAAGGTCTCGCTTACTCTCATGGACATTTCAGTAGTGTAAGTGCTGTGATGCACTACGTTATTATAGCTTATCCTTAGTTTGAACTCCCTTCTTATTATATATTTCTTCGTTCGTTAGTATGAACCTGAATTGTTCCCTGGCTTGATCTACAGAATGGTAAAGCCAAAAATTGTCTTGCTAATCTTTGTTTCGGGAAAAATTGTTCTTACTGGTGCAAAGGTAAATTTCTTTTACATATTTTGTGCTTTAATTTTTCATCGCCGTTGATGCTGATATATATGATCTTTATTTTTGATAATTCTTATTTTTTGTTTCTATTTTTTTTTTTTTTTTTATTCTCCGTTTTTAGGTCCGTGAAGAAATCTATCAAGCGTTCGAATCTATCTATCCAGTATTAACTGAATTTAGAAAGCCATAATTGAATTCTTGGTGATTGTGCATTTGCGGCCATAGCGATTGAAATTCTTTTTTACCATTGGCTTGTCCAACGGTTCTAATTATTTTCGTCGCAAAATCCTTTTTTGATGTCGAGGGAAATTGAGTGCAATTAGTTTTATTATTTGCATTTATAGGCTTGAAAAAAATTTTTAGCAAGAAAAAACTTTCACTTTTTTGTCACGGATGACTTACATTTTAATGAACATTGCTTTTTTGTATTTACGAAAAAAAAAAAACAAAAAAAAAACGAAAGCCATGAATCTATTGGGATTTGTATAAGCCCAGGTTTCTACTGCTTTAGCCTCCACCAATTGCCTTTATCCTCTCTTCAGTTCATTTCTTAAAATGAATTGTGTAATATACTTTATCCTTTTATTTTTTCTTCGATTATTGTACAAACTTTATATCATTCCAAATTCTCTTTCATTCTACTTTTTCCTTGATCTTTTCACGATTCTCATCCATAATGGAACAATATTGTCAAAGTTTCAGGGTTTTTTGTTTAGTTTAGTCTAGTTTAGTCTATATTATCTTCAAAATTAATTTTTTTTTTTTTTTCTTACTCCCAATCCATTTATACACATTTATTAATTATCTTTCCACTATACAAAAAAAAGGGAATCACGAATTAAAAGACTTTCGAAAGATTTAATCCTTTTTTTTTTTTTTAGGTTTTTTTTTTTCTATAAAAAAAAAAAAAAAAAGTATTCAAATTAGATTACTAATCGATCAGATAATTATCATTACTGGTTGATTTTGAGTTCGTGTTATTTTTTTTCGGATTTTTTGAAAAAAAAGACAAAAATAGAAAAAAATGCACAAAATAAACATAAAAAACAGAAAAAAAAACTTTTTTTTTTGCTTCATACATTTTTTGAATTCAAAATTGTTACTATTGCAAGTAATATTAAGAAATGTCGACTGTTTGTTATAATTGGTACCGTGAACGTCAATTGCCTTTTACTTTACAATAATTCTACAAAGTGTAAGAAAATAGTAATTGTTAGTCAGTACATAGCTTTAAACGAAGAGAATACGACATTTTTGTTGACGAAACAACTGAAACCTAAAAAATTTCGCTGTTTGGTTCGTTATTAGGTTAGGGTTCGAAAACTACAAACATACCAAAAAATTTTTAGTGGTAACTTGGTAATTGAGGACGCAACAAAAAAGCTAACGGCTATATAATTTGTAATCCCATCCCCTTTTTTTTTTGTGGGAGTTCCAATTAGAGATTCGTATTTATACCATATATGGATGTAATTTCTGATGATTGCCCGAACTAAGCTTAATTTAGGCCAAAATTCGAAATTACATCCCTACAAGCTAACGTTATTTGTTATTTGAATAATATTCGTATTTGTTGAAACTTTAATTATTGATGGTTTCGCATCTAATGCGAGCAGCCTAGTCACATCAAATATTGTTACGTATAAGATTATAACTACTGTGTAATTGCAATCTAGATAATATCACATAAAATTTTTATTTAAAAATAAATAATTAAATGTTAATGGTTAGAGTAAACCTTTAGTCGTTTCTAACTTGAACTTTAAAATTAGTTCGCTAAAAATATTTTTGTGTAAACTAAGAACATTTTTATTATACAAAATGCTTTGAGTTAGGGTAAAAAGGTTTAAATATATATATAAAATTTTGTAGCAAAAACTTTTTTGATTAAAAGTCAAAGCATGGTTTTTAAAATAAAATTTTGAGTTATTAACGTTTTTTCTCGATTTTTTATATATTTTGGTTACACGAGATTCTATAAGATAATTGTTTTTATACAATTAAATAATATTATTTAGAGTAAAAAATTAACAACAGTTTAAACATAAAATTGTAAAAAAATTTTATTTTTTATTTTTTTTTTAAACTTAAGCAGTTATATTTACAAAAAAAAATATACCCAATTCAAATCTAACCTCACGCTTGGTATGCAGCATATAAAAAAATTGTTTTAACAATGATGTCAATGTAATAAATATAATCTTTCACAGGTTAAATCAGATATGTTACTTTTGCAATTATATAGAAACATTTAATATTTAAGTTTAGCATTATTTAGTAACTTTAACAATATCTAAATGCAACTTGTTGTATTATTTTAAACAGAAGTAGGTTGTTTGTTTAATTACTTAAAGAGTTTTATTTTTTTATAACAAATCTTAACATTGTTTTTTTGTTTTTATTTATTTAAAGGTTATACTTTATGGTAGTTATTTTATTAACATATATAAGGTTAGTTTTATAATTTATAGATAGTAAAAAACTAGTTAAAGTTTTAATACAGTAAAGTTATCAAGTTCAAATAATATAAAGCTAATAGCAAAAAGCCTAGTAGTAGAAGATATTGTTATAGGTGAAAGCCTTCTTAATTTTCACACTATAACGACAACACGGCACAGGGAATCCCTTACGGGTATATGCGGTGTCCAAGAGGGAAGTATAGCTTCTGTTAGACGTTGTCAAGA